GACGAGATCTTCAAGCTCCTTTATGCGCTCAGACTTTGCAGCGTCGAATGTGTCGGGCTGCATTTCGCGCTCTTCGTCGTCAAAAGCCTTGACTTGGGCGCGCAGGAAGTCGACTTCCTTGGTTGCAAGGGCCTTCTGTCGTTCGAGACGCGCTCGCACCTTTGCGTCGGCACTGTTCGTCGCGGCGGTGTTTCCGGCGACCTTGAGTTGCTGAATTTCCGCTTGTAGTTTGGCCTTCTCCTCTTCGAGTGCTTGTATAGTAGCGTCCTTGACGGTGAGTTCAGGCTTGATCTCGCCCAACCTGTTGAGGAGATCGGTTCGCTCTATGCGCTCTTGAATGAAGGCTCGCGCGAGGTCTTGAGGTGTCTCGAAGAGCACTTCGCCGTGTATCTCTGCCTCGGCCTCAAGGTACGACGTCCACGAGTCGCGCTCTTCTTCTAGAACCTGCTTCCTCAGCTCTGCCTCTCCCAACTGCCGTTGTAAGTCGTCCATCATGCGCAGCTTTGTTTGCAGCGACCGCTTCTCCTCCTCGACCACCTCAATCGCCTTGTGTTGCTTCCGGTACTGCTTAAGCTCGGTGTTTTGCTCCCTTGTCAGGGTTTCCAGCTTCTTGATGTGTGCGACCTGATCAGAGAGTTCTCTCTTGATGACTGCCAGTGTTTCCGCATCTCCAGTGATTGCCTTCAGGCGCAAGACCTCAGCCTCCATCTGACCGACTTCCTCCTCCTTCTGCGCAAGCTTCTTCTGCGAGGTTTGTAGAGCGTTGACCTTGGCCTGTAGATCTGCATGCATCTCCTCCACACTCTCCTTCAGTACCTTGTGCTCTGTCTGTAGGGTGTTGTATCTGTGCTCGTTCTGCCGTTGCGATGTCGACAGCTCCTCCTTGACCTCGTCGTATTCCTCTTGTAGCGATTGCGCCCTCTCTTGACTCTCCCGCAATCGCCGTTCCAGCGCTTGCCGCTCGTTGGCAGCCTTCGTCTGTGCCTCGGACATCTCCTTGGTCAGCGCATCGTATTTCTTCGCGGTCATGCTGTTCGACGCCTCGACCTGCTGGGCTTTGCGAAAGTCGGCATCTGCGCGGTTCTGGGCGTCGCGGAGTTCTTGCGCATGCTCCAGCTTCATCATCTCCTTTTCTTGTTTTGCGGTTTCGAGCTCATATCGCACCGTGTTGAGTTGGGCGCGGAGGTCTTCATTGATCGGGTCAGAAGGCACAACCGTGTGCGGCGCATTCTGGGAGGCTCGTAATGTGGTTCGAAAGGTTTCGCGCAGAGGTTCTCGTTTGGCAGTCGCAGGCGCGGGTGTTGGCTCCTCCTCCTCGCCGGTGAGGAAGTTGAAGGAGGGCTGGGTCGTGTTGCGCACCGCCATGGCAGGCGCGACTCCGTGTTGGTTTGTTTGTTGTGTCGGGACGGGCAAGGAGCGTATATAGTCGTGGTTCAAATGTGGAGGCTACTATTATGCCATGACTATTGGCGAGGAGTGTTCTTTCCTCGCGACGGGGCGCAGATTCGAGGCGAGTGGTGGGTAATTGGTGGTTCCTGTTGTCGCAAAGCACAGTGTCTGGGGTTCACGGCGCCGTTCGGGCAAGGCCGCCTCAGGCCTAGCGCGTGAGCCCTGGAAGTGCGTCTGGCGCGCAAGCACGTGGCTTTCACTCTACACAAGTCACGTCACAACTCGAGCACGCTGCAGTAAGAATCAAGTCTTCATTCTAGTTTCAAGGCCATTGATGATAAAACTGCGGCTGCATCGTGAGTTGCAGGGTCAACTACTTCCTACTCTCGTACACCCGCCCACGCTTTCGAAAAGACATCGCCTTCGCCATCCCTCCAGCCCCATGCAACACAGTAATGCCGGAGCAGCATTTCCAGCTCCTCCAGTTCGTCTAGGAATTCCAAGCTAGCGATGCGCTCCTTCTCCTCGTCGTCAATCCACTTTCGCCAAATAGTACTTGTGTCCGCGACCTTTGCCCCGTTTGTCAAACCATAGCCCTGAAGGCGTGCACGTTGGTCGCCCAACTCAGGATACGCTATCAATGTATGGAGGTGAATGTTGCGGGACTGGAGGTTCGAGATCATCGTGCGACCAAAAGCATCTTGGGGCAGGATGGGCTCGTAGAGAATGAGAGACGCAGGCGTCGCAGGTTGTAGGTAGTGTGTGAGCAGTGATGACACTATTGATTTCACTGTCGAGGGCTGCAGGTAGACCAGGCACATCTCAGACAGGATCAACGTAGGTATGCTCGGGTCCAGGTTCGGAATCTGAGGGAGGGGCTTCTCGTCCGACGGGTCGGCCAGAGTACGTAGGTCGAGCGCATGGATGTTGTATGTGTCTGAGTGGTAGGAGGCTGAAGTCGACGGTATGTGCAGTAGCTTTCGGTAAAGCAGCGGCTGTCTCTGTATGGTGGCTATCTTGGCGAGCGTATTCGAAGGGAAGTCGATTTCGTGATATACGAGGCGCGTTTGAGGGTATAGGTCGAGGAGGCGGAAGAATCGCGTGTCGGTGCCGGCACCTAGAGAGATGATTTGCTTCGCCGACGCCGGGTAGGTGACGAGGAACTTGGCGACGAGAAGGTCGATGGCCGAGGTGCGGACATAAGTGCCTCTGTTGAGCAACGGCAGCTTCCGCGTTGTCTGTTGTGTCGCGAACAGCTTCGCGTATGGGTCGTGAAGATAACCTAGCTCTACACAGCTCACCCTGCTCCCCGCCGCATCTTGATCAGTCCCCTTGACGGCATCGTCGAGGACTTGGGCCCTTGTTTCACTGGAACCTCCCAGACCACCTCTTCCGCGTCCTCTGCCTCTTGATGGTCCGCCGCGGCCTTGTCCGAGAAGAGTTCGTAGGTTGGGGATTTCGTTTGAGGAGGCCATGTCCAAGTTCGAGATGGGCGGAAGTGGTGGGGTTCCAAGCTCCAGGTTCGCGCGCTAGGGCTGCACGCCAAGCCTCTCGCCCGGCCTGCCTTTGGAACTTCTGGAGATTTCTTTGACGCGCCCGTCTTCACTCACCTGTTGCGCCGACACCACCGCCCGACACTCGTTCCCCCGCATCAACGTCAGCGACCGCAAGCATGGAAGGCGAAAAGTACAGCGCGTCTCTGATCCGCCTGTGGAGGGTCTGGCGGACAACCAAGGAGATGATGAACGACCGGGTGCGTTGCGCATGCGCTTGAAGGAATCACGGACTGCGCGCTGACTCTACCAAAGGGCTACATGATTGTCGAAGATGACATGACCATGTCTCTTGAGGAGTTTTCAAGGAAATATGCGCGCGAAGACGGAGAGCCTGAGTATGCGCCAACCACAACCATGTCCAGGCCGCAGTACTGACCCTAACCAGCCGTTCGCGCCTCAACTTTTCCTGCCAGCCCTCCGAAGACATGCTCCGAAGGTATACCGATGCCCCGACCAAGAAGAACCCAGAGCCCCAGCCCAACATCGGCACCATTTGGATCGAGTTCAACGCCGACGAGAACGTTGGAATGAAGCAACTGCGCGACTACATGTCTCATCTTGTCAACGGCTCCTTCCACTCCGGCATCATGGTCACCGTAAAGCCCATGACGGGTATGGCTCTTCGACTCCTCCGCGGCGCAACAAGCATCACCGACGGCCCCAAGGGCGGTGTGGAGGTCTTTGTCGAGCAAGATCTGCTGGTCAACATCACAAAGCACGAATTGGTCCCCAAACATGTCCTGCTGAGTGACGAGGAGAAGCAGCAGCTACTCCAGCGATACCGTTTGAAGCAGACACAGCTCCCCAGAATCCAGTCCACAGACCCAGTCGCCAAGTACCTGGGCCTGAGAAGAGGTTCCGTCGTCAAGATTATCCGAAAGTCAGAAACAGCCGGTCGATACGCCAGTTACCGATGGGTCATATAAGCGTTCAGACGGAAGGGTAGAATGCGAGAGAGAAACGTTCGAGTACAGCGTGCCGTTCAAGCGAAAGCGCGCGTGCGTAATACCTCCAGCCGCGTCAAGGCCTTGAGATTGGAGTAGGCACCAAGACCGGTGTAGCATTGGGCGAGGCGTTTGGCGATGGAAAAGGGTCTGGTTTTTAACACCATTTTTGTACTATCTGAGAAGCAGGAAGGAAAGTCAGGGACGAACGAATCAAAGTCTCAAGTCTTCATTTTACATAAAGTGCCATGCTCTGGTGCCGAACCCTTTGTCCATCCCTCACACCAATGAGACAGGGTCAACTACGCCACAGCCATCCGCGTCACCATTTGACTTGTTTCCATACCACGCCGCATCCACACATACCCGATACCCTTAGTCCCCCTCCTACCCGCTCCTATTCCCAGCCCAACCTTCCCTTCCAAGTAACTCTTTCAGAAAACCATCGAAGTCTGTGACCCAGCATTACCCTCATCGGTGAACTAGCCCCATGGACTATTCAAAGCTGCATCATCCTATTCCGGTAGCTGCTAGTTGCAGACACGGGTAGCGCGGCCGCTGGGGTAGCTTTTGTACCGTTCAAGTCACCGTTCAGAGGACGAGTGGAGAGCTGACTTGGCTTGGCCCGGGATACGGGAGCCTATGTGTACGGAGTTTGTTTACCGGTGAGCGTGGGGTTTGGTGGTGATGGTGGTTCGGCTTACGATCAGCAGGGCAGGCTGAGGCTGATGGGCTGATGTTACCGGGTTAGACGAATACCGCTAACCTTGCATGCCGCTCGCCGGATTGGGAACATGGTAGTTTCACAGTGGTGGTAGCGCTGATCGTTATTACATCACCATAGCTGCTTAGACGTAGGTGCAGTAGATATGATGGAATTACAAGGTTCGATCCACGATCCCCGCGACTTCAGATGATATGCATTGAGCGCTGGAAATGCGTCTTGGGGGTATCATGCCAACTTCGCTATACGCCTTGCTGATGCGAAAAACTCTATGCGTACATGGTACAAACACTGTGGTAGGGTATAATAGGGAACCTGTCTGTAAAGAAGACACGAAATGAAGTTGAAACATCGCCGCAAACAATCTTCCGTTGTATACATGCCTCCTCAAGGCTCGTCATCCTCCTGCTCGAACGTCTCGGAAAAGTTGATCAGGGAGGTGAACTGCTCCGTCGTCTCCTCAATCTCCATCGTTCTTCGCTTGGCCTCATCTGCTAGCCAGCTAAGCGGCATCAGTATTATCTCGCCCTTGCTGTTCTTGAGAAGCTTCGTCCTTTCTTTCTTTGTAGACGATGGCTTTGGTAACTCGACCGCTGCCTCCATGGTAGTAATCGCGTCGCTGCGTCTGTGCCTGTGTTCGAGGATATCTACGTCAATCGTACGCTTTGCGATGACATGATAGATGTGAACCTTCTTCTGCTGGCCATAACGACGACTTCGAGCGATAGCTTGTGCCATGGCTGAGTCGTAGTCATACTGCGTCTTTGCCAAGAAGGGCGAAACGAATACAACGTGGTTGGCCACTGTCAGGTTGCTATAGATGGTCAATACGAGGTATCTATGTACATATGCAAGAGGGACTTACACGCCAGCTGCAGACTCGCTTCCCAGATTGAGTATGATGAGAGTTTTCCTCTTTTTGGGATTTGTGTTCGTCTTGAAGTCCTCCATAAGCTTCGCTGCCGACGCCTTATGTCGACTTCCGCCCAACGAGTGGTAAGAGACATTACAGTGGTCGAACACTGTCTCGAGAATGCTGATGATCTCCTCGTTTGGCGCGAAAACGATGCATTGATCAGATTGTGGAAGCCCTTGAACAAGTTGGGCAATCGCCTCAAGCTTGTTGCCAAAGCTCTGACCAGTTTGTTGGTCGTGACTTAGACCAAGATCAGCCATCCGTATCAGGTTACCTTCGCTTGCGTAGGAAGTGCAGCCAGTATGTACGCAAGTCTCGTCGTCGGTCCGCAACGCAAGACACTCTTTACATGCAGTATGGCCGCAGTGTGGTATCGAGAAGAGTAATTGAGGGTTAACTACGCCTTTGCAAACAGGCGAGCTACAACGGGTAGGTTCCTTGCCGACAGTTGCAAGTTGAAGATAGTCGTGGATCGATGCGATGAAACGTTTCGACCTTGTCCTATGCGCGAATTCGAGAGCGGTATCGCGGAGCTGTGAAAGTTCCTGCTTGATCAACCGCTCGCGCTGAAGTTTCGATATGTCCGCGACATCAGCAAAGCCAGATTTGGGGGTCTTTTGTGCTTCTTTAATCAAGCCGCGAACAACTTGGCTGGACTCGTCATCTCCGAGCCAATTGTACTGTGATATATCCTTCTGGAAATGGCCATAAAGGTCTTTAATGGTCGGCTCGTTGTTCTTAGACTTCTTCATCAAGCCCTCGAACTTCGATAGCAGCTTCAACAAGTCCTTCTTGGTGTTGCGTAATTGTTGCGACCTTTTTTCGAATAAGAGCTCAAGCGCAGATTTGCCTTCCTCTGTCTCAAAGAGTAAAGCACACCTGAGCAGTGCTTCTTCGGCACTTGCGGAATTCTCTAGGCTGTCATTCAGCCTGCTACTCCTGTCCGAGCCAGACTTCTTGTTGAGCTTCTTGATCTGCATCTTTTGAGAAATGAGGTATTGAGAAAGCTCCAAGTAGACGGCATGGTGAGCAGCATCCAGATCCACCGATAGGAGCTTCTCCGAGCAGTCAATGTGCTGAAGCTCAGCCTCATTCTGTCTCACAAATTTGTCGAGAAAGGCCTGCGCCCGTTGGTGTCTCGCTTCATGCCATTGTCTGGACATGACTTCCGTTTGCGATAAGAAGCTTTCTACATCAGTTTGATCAAGCTTGGAGACCTTCTCCGCGGATGTCGTAACCGTGCCGTCGCCACAGAAGTACCGACCAAGTTTGACTCCGAGGAAGGATGCCAGCTGATTGACATCAGAGAAGTTGGCTAAGGCTGGCGTTCCAGACAACACCCAGCGTTTATGTGCAGCAACTTGTTTGATGCTCGTAGCCATGAAGTTGTTTCCCATCTTGTTCGTGTCATTGAGATAGTGATATTCGTCAACGATGATTCTGTTGAACCGAAAGAGATGGAGTAGTGGCACTAGGTGTGATGAGCTACCTGGTCTCGACGTGGCCTTAGTTTTCGCCTTGGCTTTGGCTTTTTTCGATGGACCTGAAGTAGAGGACATGGCCTCGAAGGAAAGATATGCGCTACCATGCCGGATGCTTATTGGCAATGCGGCCTGGAATGCGGGTTGCTGGAGCTTTTCATCCACGAGTTCCTTCGTTAGCCGTTGAAAGTTCTCATAGTCATGACGCTTGTACACAGCCAGCTGGTTTGGGATCTCGCCAACGGCCCTATCGAGCCAGCAACTGAATGCACGACGGCTGGTCATCAAAGGCTCTGGCAGTGCGGTGAACGTTGCTAGCTCCGAAATGTAAGCTTCATCTGCAAACAGCGTCCAAGACACTATGATGACTTTGCTTCGTAAGAGGTCTTCAATCTTTAGACTCTTCAGCTGACTGTAGTTCTCTATGACAAGAACATTGTAGCTGTCGTATTTTTGGGATTCGAGAAAGTTCTCCAGTTCTGTACTCCATTGACTTGTAATATGGGGAGGTGAAACGATCAAAGTTGCAGCTGAATCCAGTAGTTGAGGCTGCTCAGGTGCCATGGATCGGTTGCGCTGAATGAGTGTATCCATCGTGCACTGTTCGAATTCGCTCTGGATGAGCCCAATACTTGTGACAGTCTTGCCGAAGGACGGGTGATCGGCGAGCACACCACCACGCACAACTTGCTCTGTCTCTGCTTGAGCCTCCACTCTCCAACCTAGACCTGAGTGCACTGATTCTTCTGTCTCGATGAGTTTCGTTATTATCCCTCGCTCTTGCCTTGCCATCCATGACACAGATTTTACCTGCGCACCCCGTAGATACTCCGGCGGCATAATTGCGGGATCTTGAATATCGTTCGCATTGCTTTGCAGTTGAAACTTCTGGAGGGGCTGTGAAGGTAAATCAACATGATCCGTTATCAGCCTCCAGGAAGTAGTCGTGGAAACACCCTTGGCAAACCTTCCTCGCGCGCGATGCGTCAACGACAGAACATCGACACCGATCCGGATTCGTGTCCCTGACAGATCACTGGAAGCTTCCAATTGAACTATATCAGGGCGTTGCTTGATGGCGCGCTCGAATGCGGCAGCAGCTCGGCGGTCCTCGTGTGCTGTCGCTAGACTCTTCTTGTTGACACTCCAGAGAATCTCGGGATACAGTGGTGCGCAGGAACACTCCCCGGACCAGTCTGACTGCACTGTCTGCCAAGATGAGCATGTCGGTAACATTTTAGCGCTCTCTAGAGCCCAGGAATACTCTGCAAAAGTACGCACTGAAACTTCATCTTGAAGAGAGACGTCTAGGCAAGTGAGCGCCTGGGAGCAATCTGGTAGGTTGTTGTCAACGAGGCATCCTTCATCGAGAAAACCCACGTTCAGAGGAACAGTTGCTGGTACAAGCATCATTTCAGCAGGGGCGTGCACGTCAGGAATTGTGATGGTAATGGCGTCCACACATCCGTCCTCCACATCCCAGGGTCGCCAGGATGGATGCACACGGGCCAGCGTGACACGGCTGTCTCCATAGTGTTTGCGGGTATGGTCCTGGCTAAAGACGAAGCTGTCATGATCTGATCGGCCGATAGGGTTAGGATCGAGAAACAAGTACATGCTGTTCACACCCGTTGACCTTTTGTAAAGGCTAGTTGACGCAGTTCCACAATGCGGTTGATGCTCGTAATCGCCGGTGATGGCCGCCACCTCCCGGTCATTGCCCCGAATTTTAATGGTTCTTGGTACGGTCTCCTCTTTGTAGTCCACAAGACCGAGCCGACTCCTCCAAGAGCTAATCCTATCAGCCGAGCCGCTCATGTTGAGAATATGGTTCTGGGTGTAGGGTATGCGTATATTCCACTCGACGTCGAAGAGAGTATTGGTGGTGGCGCTTTGTGCGATCGGATTGCGAACGAACTCGCGCAAGGGGCTGTTACCCGGGAGATTCGGTGGACATCTGACGAATAATGACCATCGAATATCGGAGCCGACCTTCAGCTCAATCGTGGCACTAGACGAGCTGTAGGTGATCTTCCACTCATTGTACTCTCTGGAGAATTCACCAATACAGAAATACTGAAAGCTCAGCTGCGCTTCCGATAAAATGGTCAGATACTCGCTCAGAATCGGGTCTTTTGGGCCCATATTGGCAGCCAGATGAGAGATGTTAGGGAAGGCATGGAACTTCAGTCGCGCAGGCAACCTGGGTCTCCACCGCCTGATGAAGTCGTCAGGTAGCGGCGTTCGACGACTCGGTAAGACAATTTCTTGATAAACGTGCTTGGGATTCCCGGCACAGGAGGCGCAAGCTGAATGTCCACAAGCAGAGCAGATATGGATCGCGGTCTTGCTGATAATTTGTTTGCCCTCACAGTTGCACATACGCGCACTCATCTTTGCTTCGTGCCTGAGCTCGGCCAGGTCGAGATCTTTATAAATGCTTGGTTCCAGGGTTGTATGACCCAAGACCTCTGGCTGGGCGATCATTCTACTAGTGGGCGGAGGAGCTTGTACTTTGTCAGATGTGACATTGTGTTCGGAACGAAAAGCTTGTGAGCCGGCAATGAGGGCAGAAATGAGAGACGCCCCGATCACTGTAGTTGACATGGCGTTGCCAGCGAGGTTTTGTAGGTCCTTTTGTGTTTCGTTCGCGAATAATAGTCGATCGAGCGGCATGCCTTGAAGGATCAAAAGCTGACTACCATTCAGAGTGTGCTGGCGGTTGCTGGCAAAGTCTTGCCCACCTGGAGTCAGGCATGGCGCAATGCCCAAATCTGCCTTGAATCGATCGACGTTTTGACTGACATCCCATAACGCCATCTTGTAAAGCGAATCGCAGCCCTTGAGAGCAGCAAACTCTAGGTGAGCAATGTCGATAGCATCATGTACTCTCGAAGATTGAGAATTGTAGAACTTTCGGTCAGCGAAATCGGGAGGCCTGCATTTTCGTTAGCCCGGATATCAAAGACATAGCAGTGTTGTGAAAGCTTACATGACCGTGCCGTTGTCGCTCCGCCGGCTCACAGGACTGAGTATTCCAAGTTTCTTCTCAGAGCGAATGTGATCATTCCGGAGCTTGCACAAAGCCCAGTCCGGCTCGTTCTTCAAAATGCTGTAACCACTTGACTCTTTCAGCGATTCAGGGAGAAACGCCTCGTAAGGGCTACTGCACTGTCTTTCCAAGTTTTGCATCAACTCCTTCCACTGGTATGTCGCTCTCTTCACATCTTTACCGAAATGGCTACGCTCCACAGCGATCATGTACATTCTCTCTCGGGTTTGCGGCAGATAGTAGTTTTTCGTGTCGCAATAGATCCATTGAGCTTCGTAACCGATCTTGGACCATCTTTGTACCACGTCATCCCAAGTCTTCTTCTCATTCTTGACATTCTCCAGCAGTACTAGGCTGGGGCGAAAGCGCTCCGCGTAGGTGTAGATTGCTCGCCATGTGTCGCCCGATTCGCCGCCGTCGTCGATAGTCTTTCCCTTGTTGTTCATCCGCGAGAGATCCTTGCAGACGAAGCCGGCGATGAGCATGTCTATGCTCGTGGGAATGTCGACCTCTGCTCCGTATGCTGTGATAGCGGTGGTGGTGTCTTTGCGTAGGAAGTCGCGCACGTCTCGGAACAACTTCCTGGGAGCGAAATTCCGCTCAATGTATCCCTGTTTGAAGATTTCAATCTCCGCGGAGAATTCTTGCTGAATGTACATTGGAGGTTTCCCCATACGTTCAAGTGCTAAAGAACATATTAGATATAACATCGAGGTTTGCGTGCAAATGACTGACCTTTTGATATCTCATCCAGGGCTAGCAACGGCGACTCAGTACCAGAACACATGGTCGCTACTCTGATAGGCCTTTCTCCTAGGCTTTGAAGAGCTTCACAAAGGCCGAGGTTTACTGCTTTGGCAGTCATATCAAACATGCAGTCTTGAATGTTCGAGAGCGGGGGAAGGCTCAGATCGATGCCTTTGCCAGCTCGACTTGGTTCTCCAGTCTTAGTGTTCCGGCGTGGGTTTGGCTTGGGTTGATCGTCTTCAACAGGGATGACGTCCTCATCTATGGAGATGTCTAACGATTCAGCGTCACTGGCGCTCGATGCTTCCTCATCGGAAGATGCAGGCTCAATCTCCGCTTCGCTTTCTTCTTCTTCGTCCGTTGTAGGAGAACTGTAGATGTCTGATACGTCCTCATCTTCGTCTTCGGCTGCGAGACCCAGGTCTTGGTCGGATACGTCCTCAAGCATGGGTTCAACATAGGACACCCTAGGCCGAGCCCTGCTGGAGCGTCCACTACGACCAAGGTTCAATATGCTGATCTCTTTTCCTTGATCCGAGTCGTTGTCCATCATCTGAACGTCCTCACCACCAGGGGTCGTCGCTGATTTTGGATCGTCTTCTAACGCGAAATCGTTCGAAGTCATAGGCGAGGGTAGCGCATCGTCGCCACAATGCAGCTCTTCGTTCTCGTCGGCAGGCTTCTCTGGTGTCCTCGAAGCTTGGCGCAAGCTCAACCTAGACGGGCTTCTCTTCGGGCTAACCACCTGTGCATGCTGATCGGGTGTGTGGCTCGGTAAGACCTTCCTGCGCTTCGATCTAGATGCGCCGTTGCGTGTTATGTTGTGATCGACTTCATCACTGACATCCTCTGTAGTAACCTGTGCCTCATTGCTGGTCTGAGATACCTCGCTACGTCGAGTTCTTCGGCTTCTGCTGGGCTGTTCTGGTGCCACACCTTCAGACTGTGGGATATTCTCGCTTCTTGTGGCCAGCTCCTCAGGCTTTGGCTTCTTCTTCTCGGGTAGCTTGCGACATAGATGGGTTGTTTTGTTGCGTATGCAAGTATCGCAAGGAATACTTCCGTCGCATTGTTTGAACCCTCGTATAGTGCATCGTGGACAACGTGCCGCTATCGCTGCCGATTCTTCTGGCGTAGGCAGTCGACATTTCTTCTTCTTGTCCCGTATACAGCGCGTACACAGGTCTGCTCCTTCTTCTGTGTGGCATTCATACGCCGCGTTGCCTCCACGGGTGAGGCAGAAATAACAACAGTCTAGAGGTATGACCTGGTCGGCATCGTCGGTCGCTTGAGGTGGTGTCGCGGTATTAGTAGGGATAGAGGGTGTATCAACTGCAATTGGTTAGCTCTTGAGGAACAGCAAGTGATGAGGATAAGGTGAACGGCATACCATGGACATGCTGGGCTGTGTGCGCGCGGCGAGCGCGATTACCTCGCGTATGGGTCTCAGCCAAAGGAGTGCGCTCAGTACTCCCTCTGCTGGCAGTGAGTGGCCGTGGTGCAACATGAATAATATCATCGTCGTACTCAAACACGCTGTGTGCAGGTGACACTTGGGCGACGCGCTTCCGCTTACGCGAATTGTTTTGTCCCATGGTGAGAGTATCTCGATGCGAGACACGGAATTGAGTATCGGCACAGCCGTTAATCTAGCGATAGAAGAATGAAGTGATGCGGTTCGCTCATGGCATGCAATTCGCGCGATGAGGGCAACAAAGTGTATGTAGTTCATGCGGCATGCAGGCACGTAGCGCGACGACGCGTCGCGCTAGTGAAGCGAAAGCACGTGGGGTCATCCTGTCACGGCATGTACCCCGCATTCCGTCTCTTGCTGCTGAGTTGTAAGGCCTGGTAGATTTTCAAGGAGGAACGGCATCTCTTGAATAGTTCATAGATGAAGAGAGAGTGAGAGGACTGCGTGAGCCGTTTCAGGCATGCACAGCCGAAGCGGATAGAATACTCAGAGAGGGAAGGTGCCATCCTACGCAGCGAAGTCGGGCAACACTCAGCTCATGTATACCTAGGTATCCACCCTCATGGCTTGGTACTCGTATTATCCTCACCGCAACACCTAGAAAACACTTAACGTCTTTGTTCTGCCTAGTGTTCACGACACTCACAAGACAACAACATGTCTAATCAAGCAGTCAACACATTCGAGGACCTCACCGGTGTCTCAACGTCCTCCTTCAGCAATCCGTACGATGCATTGATTGCGGCCTGTCAAGACGATCCAGTAAGACACTTTGACGTGTGTTTCTTGCGCATACTTAGCAAACATTGCAGGCTCAGATCCAGGAAAAGTACCAGCTGCATCGGACTACGAGGAATGGCCAGCAAAAGGCGAAGATGCTCGACGAGAACTTTCAGGGTGTCAATATAGACCCCATACTCTTGAGATTGGAGGACCCCACTGTCGAGCCCGGATTCAAAGATCCCCGCAATTGTTTCGTAAGAGCGCTGATGTACGAATTGCATTGAGGCATGTACTCATCCTGTGCAGGTATTCTGGGGCCGTCCCACAGAGCAAGTCAAGGATATGATCGCCCGAGTGCAGCAGGAACTACGAAAAGTAGCACCAAGTAGGCACAATATCATGGTTACCGTATTGTGATGCTAATGAAAGTAGATCTATGGCTCATGCCCCGGGACAACCAACACATTACAGTACTGGAGGTAACGCACTCGAAGACGGCACCAGAGATTCAGCAACTCGTCGATAGTGTGCGAGACAAGATACCTGCCATGACCGACTATACCCACGAGCATCGCACGCGCCTCATCAAGCCCTTGATTGGGTACGATGCTTCAGCGATAGCGTTGAGCTTTGTACCTGCAGCTAGCGAAGGACTGCACTCTGGCCGTACGACTGAAGACGACAAGTTCACTTACCACCATCTTCGCCGAGATATGTTCTCCATGTGTTGCGATGCAGGTCTTCAAGTGGAATCGCGATACGTCGTACCGTCAAGCCATCTCACCATCGGCCGCTTCATCTATACCAAAGATCAGGAAGACGGAAACGGCTCACTAGATCCTGAGAAGACGAAGGCTTTGATCGAGAAGATCGAGGAGATCAACGCGTGGCTACAAAAGGACTACTGGCCGGAACATAACGAAGGCAAGATACCTGCTGGTGGAGAGTTCAACGTGGGCCAGGAGAAGGGTTTGCATTGTGGGACGGGTCCCCTTTGGTATGGCGGAGGCGACGCAGTGCATCTTGGAAAGGGCTACTGAGCAGCATGAGGTCTTTCAACAACATGTTGGTTCCCACTTAGTATTGGGAGGCGCTTTTGTTGAGTCCACAGGTCAGAAGGTAGGTGTACAGCTCTCAGCTGGGGGCGTCGTCATGTGCTGGCTAGATTTCGTGTCGCATTCTACCAGACGGTATCAAAAGACGTCTATAAGGTAGACGCATTTATTACATTGGGACCTGTAAAGTTGTCGCGATTTATGCGTGTGTATGCAGCAAACGCCTCGAATTCCAGCCTCCACTGTTGGCGGCGGAGCGGCGGGGATGACGTGTGGCGTGTGGCTTGGCCAAAGCGCGTTCCTGAAGCTCCCCACGCGGCATCACAGACCCTGACGGTGAAGTTGTATCACGCTTGTTTCTGCTTTGGCTTGCATAGCTTTTGGACTGGACAGATCATCGAGGAGTAGACATCACACCCCGACCCGGCTAAACCTGTCCTTATACTGTAGCCTGGAGACCTTTGCGACCCCGTGAGGCCCCATTGCTGCTGCCTCCCAACGTCTTCACGAATACGTGGCATCCACCTTCTGCTACTTTATATACCCCAAAATTCGATAGCGACTTCCACCACCAAGATGTTCAACCGCGATCGACTTCCAGGCCTTCCTGGTAGCTCCCCTCGGCCACCGCCCCGTAACGACGGTTACGGACGCCCACCCCCGCAACAGCAACCACCACAAGGACCTCCACGAGGCCAAGACACAAGAATGGCGGGTTATGATGACCGGCCGCAACAACAGCGTATGCCCGCAAGGGGCCCTCCAGGAGGCGGTGGAGGCGGCGGCGGCGGTCCTCCACGACAGCTGCGGCCCATCAAGAGCCCAGGAGGCAACGCGTACGCTTTTGGCAACATGTATGTACAGTCAGCAGCAATGTAGTCTGCAAGCCTCTTCAAACCCCAAATTTCTATATATTCGGAACTCTTGGCTGACAACATGAAGCGTCGCAGTCTCCCCTCAAGACTTCCCACCAAACGCCGACGGTTCCGATATCTACATCATTGTCAACGGAAACTACGCACTCTCCGCACGACCAACACAAGGATGCAACCCGGGCGAGATCGGTCTCACTGATTTCCAGCGAACATGGGCCGGCATATCGCTTGGTCCCCAGGAGGTTGTTAACGCGGCACCATACGATCACTTCGCGTACAGCGGCGGAAAGTCATACTTGGGCGCAGTGGACGTGGAGGTCGGATTCGCGGGAAGGAAGACCACGGAGACACCTTACGATCAGGACGAGCTCGCTACCGTCTTCAAGAAGAGTTTCGAGAACCAAGTCCTTTCGCCAGGCCAGCAGCTTGTGATCGATATCAAGAACATACCACTCAAGTTATCGATACGAACTGTGACGCTAGCGGATTTGTCTATGGAGAAGGATGAGGCCAACGCGCCTGCGATTACCGATCCTCGAGCTCGTGGCATCCTCACAAGACACACTCAGGTCGACTTCTTCAAGGATGCCAAGACAGATATCAAGTTGAAAGCGTCAGCGCGACGAGCAGCGGCAAACTCCATTATCCAGCCAGGCTTCAAGTTCGAAGACATGGGCATCGGTGGCTTGGATGCCGAATTCGGTGCCATCTTTCGACGAGCTTTCGCCTCCCGTATCTTCCCGCCAGGTATTCGCGAAAGACTGGGTATCGATCACGTCCGTGGTATGCTTCTGTACGGTCCTCCCGGTACTGGTAAAACCTTGATAGCTCGGCAAATCGGAAAGATGCTGAATGCCCGAGAGCCCAAAGTTATCAACGGTCCGGAGGTGTTGAACAAGTACGTCGGAGCGTCCGAAGAGAACATCCGCAAGATGTTTGCGGACGCAGAGAAAGAACAAAAGGAGAAGGGTGACGAAAGTGGTCTGCACATCATCATCTTTGACGAGCTTGACGCCGTGTGCAAGCAAAGAGGTTCTGGCGCGGGTAGTGGCACTGGCGTAGGCGACAGCGTTGTCAACCAGCTGCTGTCCAAGCTCGATGGTGTTGACCAGCTACACAACATCCTCCTCATCGGTATGACGAACCGAATGGACATGATCGATGAGGCTCTTCTGCGTCCCGGTCGTCTAGAAGTGCACCTGGAGATTTCGCTGCCCGATGAGTCCGGCCGAGCCCAGATTCTCAAGATTCACACAACAAAGATGCGCAAGAACAACGTCCTTGAGCAAGACGTCAGCGTCGAAGAGCTGGCTAAGCTTACCAAGAACTTCTCGGGAGCTGAACTCAACGGTTTGGTCAAGGCCGCCACATCGTACGCATTTGGTCGACATATCAAGGATGGCACTACTGTCAAAGCAGACGTGGAAGATATCAAGGTCACGCGACAAGACTTCTTGAGCGCACTCGACGATGTTAAGCCGCTCTTTGGTGTCGCTGAAGAGGAACTCAGCAAGCGATTCCGTCATGGTATCATCCATTACTCGCCCTTCATCAGGGATATACTGGAGGATGGACGTCTATACATCAACCAGGTCAGAAAACCGGAATCGAGTCCGCTCCTCTCGGTTGCGCTCCACGGTCCCCCAGGTTCCGGAAAGACAGCGCTGGCTGCGAAAATGGCAATCGACTCAGGTTACCCATTCATCAAGCTCATCTCGGCTGAAGACATGATCGGCTACAGTGAGATGCAAAAGGTTCAACAGCTGGATAAGGTTTTCCGAGACGCATACAAGAGTCCGTTGAGTGTCATTGTCATCGACTCGATCGAACTTTTACTGGACTGGGTGCCGATTGGCCCTAGGTTCAGTAACACCGTTCTGGCTGCCCTGAAGGTCCTGCTTGCCAAGGAGCCACCAAAGGTATGTAGCCTCACTATCCCGCTTCTACTGTGTAATCCATCTAACAACCCTAGGATCGTCGCCTACTAATCTTCGCGACAACGACCGAACGCTCGGTACTCACACAGCTCGATCTCTTCGCCCGATTCGACGCCGAGATCGCCGTCCCGAACGTCAACACACAGTCCGAGCTGGCAGCCGTCCTGCGGGAATCCGGTGCCTTCTCCGATTCCGACCAACAGCGCGCCATCAGTGAGATCCAGGAGATGACAGGTAACACCGAAATTGGGGTTGGCATCAAGAAAATCCTCACCGGTATCGAGACGGCGAAGCAGGACCAGGATGTACCTGGCCGCTTCGCTCGCGTCATGTCTCGTGCTATCGCTGCCAACCGGGGGTCGATATAGACCAGGGTTGAAGTTTGACGAACTACCTGTGAACTTGTTTGAGATATGTCAGATGGAGTATCTTTAGATCTCTGCCACGACCACTATGGTCATGGCTTATGTAGATGCATGAAGCAAACCCAATAGAGACGATATACTACATCACAGTCACAGTTCTATCCCCTTTCATGCCTCAATGTACTCGCGCTTTCTTACACCTAACGTTCAAACGATAACAGCCTCACTTCTACCCCAGTCCCTGTTCAAATACCATCATACACGATACAACCTCTCCCACTTCTCGTTCGGAACCGTCGTCGGTACACAACATCCCCCTCACCTGCACAAAACCTGTCACTGTCAGACTCCATTCCAATAACCTCACATACATCTGACACCCCGTACACCTGATCTCAACAACACCCCCGGAAGACACGGCAGCATCATGTCGTATCCCAGTAAGTCAAAACTACAAGTCCGTGGTTTCGGAGGTCGCCGCCGCGTTTCCCCTTCCCCCTCCTTCCCGAGTCGCACTTGGGCCGCCCTGCTTCCGAGTTGGCGAGACCGAGCCGTTGGGTGAGCGAGGATGAGGGGTGGGGTCGAGGTCCAAGTGGGGCAGGAGGGCACGACATATGGTGGCTTGCATCTGTTGGGTTGAGATACTGGTGTTAGATAGACGGTGGTGGGGCGGGATCTGAAACTCTAAACCGGTGTTGTTTTGTGTAACGGAATGGCTAGCTGAGATCGGTTGGGGTGTTGGGATAGGTCTACTATGGTTCGGTTAAGGGATGGCTAGCAACTGGCTAGGTTTGAGGTCACTGCTACAGTATTGGAACGCGGATCGGGCACGTGTAAGGTCAGTAGGTTTACGAGTGCATCTTACATATCCGCTGCAATGGTACACTTGAGCAGTTTCGAAGTCACGGTTTCTCAATAGTTCTCACGCTGAACCTAATTCAACAAGTGCATTTTGCATGCGTGCGGGTGGGTCACTCCGCTTGGAAGTGGATCGTTACATAAACACGTAAAAAAAGATGAAGAAGCTGTCTCAAAGAGATCCTCGTGACTGGCGAGCCGTCCGTCCGTCCGTCTGTCACATGACATGATGAGTTCATGACGCCGATCCAAAAGCAGTCCGTTTCCCAAACCAAGGAGACGAAAACAGAATACGCAGCCTTGCTCAACACCTCATAGCCGCCGTTGAAGCCCCACCTTCCAGTCTCACATGTTCGACGAATGAGCAAGCGTACCAGCTTTCCAGCTCGCAGCTCGCCTCTGGCCCGTCGACCGTTGGCATGGACCACGCCAGCGCCGCACTATCCGAGTGCCTTGAGTCGATTGACAGCTGCCATTCGCTGAGCGCTTGCATCGAACAGCGGGCCGGTCCGCGGTATATTTTTGGGAAAAGAAAAGCCGGCGTGTGGGTCGCTAAAGCAGCGAGGCCGTCTACCGAGAGTGGATCGTGAACGACAGTTCGCGTTTTGACGTCTACCGTAAGCGATTTGGAGACGTCCTGAGTTATAAAAGAAATAATGAAGTCGATGGTATCCGTAGAATCGTAAAGTGAACGTATGCCGCCCGTGTTTTGAGAAAATCCGAAAAGTTGTATGGTTGTATCATCCACAGGCCGTAAGGCGAATATTGTAAGAAGCGCAAAGAACTAGTAGTCAAGAGGTGCTGGGTATCGGCCTTGGGCGGTGCGGAACTGCTCGGGGTACTTTCGCGCCGCACGCTCGTTGAGGGAGCTACCAAATTGTCAGTCATGCTGTTCAAGTTTAGAGTCGCTGTTGACTCACTCCACGCGTTTCTGTGTGTATTGCAAATCTCTCTGCACATCTTTCGCGGCTTTCATACCGTCTGCGAAGCTCATGCGTGCGCCAGCTAGCCGGCGCTGAGCAAGTTGTTGCAGTTCGAGAAGCTCGCGATGCTTGGCGTTCAACTCGCCAGATCTGCACGTTGTGTCAGTTCCGCAAACGCAAACAAATTCGCGCGAACAGTCGCGAGGTAATATAGTTTTCAAACTTACGTTTGTGCTTGCTTGGCTAAGCTGCGGTCTAGTGGCATTGGGTCGAATGAGCCGTTTACACGACTGCCCATGTAATCGAGAAGATCTACGCTCGCAGAGCCACTGCTCGAATCGTAGTCGCTTGCGCTACCGGCGTAGTTGCTGGAAGTCGCCGACGGCTCGTAAGAAGGTACGCCGGATGTTGTGACGCTGGATGGAGCTTCAGGTGGTGATGCTGCTCCACGTCCGTAGCCATGGTGTTGGGGCGGGTAGTAGAAGCCCGGCTTCTGTGGCATGCTGATCGGGTAAGAGGATTGGGGCAATTGGTAGAACGAGTGGGTGGCAGCCATTTTGGGTAGCGTTTGGATCTCTGATGGGTGTTGAGAAAAGGTTGGGTAGTGTGTCGGAGCGAGGCTCAAGTTGTATGATAGCTTAAGTGATTGATGAGGCACTGGAGGTGGCTCAGGACAGGGCTTGAATGTGGTGCAATCTAGTGATATCTCTAAAGAGGTGAGTGAATACAGAAGCAGAAGGGAAGCTCGTAGGGCCTGTGAAAGGGCCTCTTTTTATACCCTTCAGCCAGAGACGTACTAGGAGCATGCTGGTCAACGGGGCAATGCTCTGACCCCTTCATGCCGGCTCAAGCTCGCGACCCCGCCCTTGTGGTGATAAAGGTGCATAGTCTTACGTCCACTGAGGTCCGTTTCCGCTAGAGCCGGCTTGATGAGCGTCATTTAGACTGGGCTGGATGAGTGTCCTTGGCCGTGGACGGCAGCCGATCCACGATGCCTCGGAGCGATACTGGATGCTAAATGTGCCAATTGGCCAGGACAAGAGACTAGTGGGCAAAAGGGCCAGCTCGTATCAGCATAGAAGGTTCAGCGGAGCGAATTGGCGTGCAATGGCGAAAGGTCGCGTCTGTGGAAGCAGTACCGTCGATGGCCGGCATCAGTGCGTTGCTAAAGGCAGCAAGGCAGAGTAAGCGCAGCAGACGCAGACGCCAACGCCGTGTAAAAGCAGCGCCGGTGGAGCTATGTACATGCATGGGTAGTCTGCCGGACGGCCATGCTAAGTGTTGTCAAGTTGATGCGTTGGCTCGACAGCTGCCAGCGCCTTTGAGCATGCAATCTGGAACGGGATGCGGAGGATCAGACATTGCATGACACCAGTGGCGGGGATTGTTTGCACGCAACTGTAGGAGAAAGATTGCGCGCGCCGACATGCAGCGCAATGGGAGGACGGCATTTCCTGAAGAAATGTCATGGTCACGGCCATGGAAGGTCGTGGAGGAATATTCGGGTCCTAGCAGTAGCCCCGCCTGCTCTTGCCCCTCGTTGGGTCGGTGCGTCATCCTTGCGAGCAGCACGACCGACAGGCCCTTTCACCGGCAATTGGCCATGGACGCGAAGACCACGCCTGACTGCAGGACACACTTGGCTCTTGATGCCTGAAGCCGATGTGCAATCCCTGCACTGCGTAACCACGCACGACACCTCACACACACCCGCACACGTTCCAATGGCACGTCAACCATAAAGTAAGAGCATATCTAGTGGCGGTGAAGGATTCTGTCTAGCTCCAGCCCATGACATGTGATCGGCTCGGTATGCGCCTAACGCCCTTGCATATACCGGCCAGCCATCTCTGGTGTGGCGACTGCCACTACGCGACCGTTTTGGGTAAGCTACGACTTCGGAGAGTCCGCATCATGAACACGGAAACCCTTTTGATGATTACAGCCCAGAACCGATGACAACTACTCGGAGCAACATATTGCAGTCACAGTCAGCTTGTGCTCATACGACCCGCTGCACTGGTGCCTCGATGGCGTTTTACGAGCCGATCCGGTATCACGACTCTCAAAGACAGCCATGTGAGTTGCGCGTGGTCGCTACTCGAAGTCACTGTCGTACAAGATTCCCGGTATCTGGCTCAGCCACGGACCCAGTTCTCGCCAATGGAGCATTGTATCAGTTTTCCGAGCCACTCATATGCAGGAACTATGCGCCGAACCCGGTATGCAATGTCGGTAACACTACACTATTAGCACAGATGCGCTACCAGGATGTTCTCCAAAAGCGCGACCCGTTGTTTGGGCTTCGTTAGGCACGGCGTTCGGGTGGCTAGCTCTCAGTATGACACCTCGGCGATCATATCCACGCGTATGGGCTGACGCTCGCCTATGCTCGCTGGTTACAGATAAGGTCACTTTGACAGCGGGAGCCACTCAAAGTCGCTTGCAGTGGTGGAAGCTTGTCGGTCGGGGAATTGATGCACCTTGGGCACGGGTCTCCCGGCATAGCCATGGTTGTTGCTGACATACTTCAAGACAGTCTCGAGATCAAAGCCTCCTGGCGCACGGGGTAGAAACGCTGCTGCTCATAAGCTGTAATCATTCCTCAGATCTTCACATCGCACTGCGAAATCCATTCATACAAGTCACACAGATGAAGTTCACTTAGGTTGATTGCACTGACAAGCAATCTTGCGTCTTCCACATGATTAGAGCTCCGATGATTACGATGAACCGGACTGGGGGTTGCAAAAAATCCGCATTCTAAAGAAACCTCATACAAATCTCCATCTTCCTCGTAGCATACGCTATCTTAGAGACTACTCACACTAGATTACAATAGTGTGTATGCAGCGAACCTTGCAAATGCGACACGCATTGTTGCCAGCCCTCGTGCCCGCCGCGTCCAAAAGGCTCAATCAAATAACAACAAGCCCGTCAAATAGGCCCTTCAAATAAGCCCGGTACTGGGCCTGGGGGGCAAAAGTAAGTGGCGCGGTTCTGAGCTCATCCACGCTTTGTGGCGGTCCGAGTCTGAAGACGATCGTGACTCCCAGTACTCATCTGACGACCAATCCGGCACCCAAGCCTCCACCTCAATACCGAGCTCTTGTAGACGGCTAATGGGGCCTCCGGCCCAGTCCTTATCGATTGGGCGGCCAATTTCGTCTAGCGTAACCTTTCGTAGTTCAGGGAAACCACCGTGGTGACGGCGCGCAAAAATAATACCATCCGTTATGTTCCAGATGCTGTCTTCCACGTCGTCGAGACGAGTGATGACCAGTTCTTCTAAAGTGCTAGGCAGTATATCGCCTACCTCTGCCATTGGTCGTTCTTCTGAAGGACCTGTTAGTAGCCAGTGGGGCAGTTCGAGACGACGTAGCTTAGTAAAGCTGCTGTAATCTGCATGATCGAGTTTTCCAACGTACCATCGATCCTCACAGCCCTTTTCTGATATGCGCAAGGCCAAGCTGTCTAGTGTATCCGTCAGACTCGAAAGCTGCTCTGTGACGAAATGATAAAGCGGCTCGTCTAGGCTATCGTTGTACATCCACTGGTCGTACAAGCTGTCTTTGACCACCTTCCTGTATTCCTGTGGGCTATCTCGGTCGGCTTGCTTCACTATTACGTTAGAGAGCCAGATTTCCAATACTTTGAGAGAAGAGAAGCGCGAGAGGAAATCGTCGGTCTTCTCGGGATCTTCAGATTTGAATTGAGAAGTACACATGTCCCATGTGAGTGTATCGATAGAGGATGTAAGGCTGCTGTCCGGGACTTTAGTGTCTTCTAGAAGGCGGCACCCACGACCTATGTGCAGAACCTTAAGCGATGTTAACTCACACCAAGACCACTCAAAAACTTGGGCGTTGAAGTGCAGTTCTTTGAGCTTCGCCAGTCCCTCGGGGTAAGATGAGCTTTGAGGCCCAAAGATCATCTCAAATGGGCTGATTGCATCCGTATAGCGTTGATAATCGTATTCGTGGCGGTACGATTGCTCTTCAGCCAATACCTCAAGCTTCAACACCTCCAGCTCAGACGTCTGCTCTAGGATGAACCCAACCAGGGCGCATTCGTTGACTTGCCCCAGTGAAGAGTGAGGCATGAAAGGCCTTTGAGGAGACATCAGCGATGGCTCGACAGTAACCATACGATCTTCTGGATGTAGTTCAAGACTACGTACAATATTTCCTAGACTTGGATTTTGGACCAGAATGTGTGCTAAAGCTGCAATGCCGCTGGGTTCATCAGGTAAGGTCCGATCGGGGACGCGGACGGCGCGCCAGAGTAGATCTCGAGCGACGGGTTCCATCTTTTTAGAGACCAATGCTAGCGAGCGTAGGCTCTCGCGATCTAGATCAGACGCAACCTTGATGAGCAGTTCGTTTGGGAGCTTCTCCATAGTTGAGTTTTCGATGTACATCCGATGGTAATGAGAATAATTAATTCTCGATCCAGGTATCGAAGTCAATTGAAGTTGTGAGAGACGATGAATAGGGAATAGAAAATATATGTCTGATATACTTGGAGGGTTACAGCAGACCTCATTGTGAATGCGACCGCAGACACAAATGCGTGGCGCTGTTCGCAAGCAATACCTCTTCGCCGAAAACAGTTTCTGATGAAAAAGATCCACACTGTCAGCTTAACTCCTTATCAATGTGATTTGACTCGAGTGAATGCGAGTGCAGCAGGATGGCGGATACAGATGTGTCCACGGGTATGTCTTCTCCAAAGTGGGGCGGGATTCTCCACGACACGCTAACGCGGGTAAATTACCCCGAGCTCGAAGTCGGCGTCATTGCTTTCTCTCACAACAGCCACAATAACTCTCTAGCCATTTCGACATATTTCCGAGGAGCCCGTATGTCCATCCGTGTAATGGCATATGAGTGGAGGACACAGGTGGTGGTGGCGCCCAGTTGACACGGTGAACGACCGAATGGCGCCCCGCATCTTCTTCCCGCCATCGCGGAGCAACAATAGCGAGCGAATACAACTGCCGAGCGTCACGTTGGAGTCTGTATGATCGCCTAACTCCGGTGTTGTAAGTACATATCATCGTATACATCCTCCCCAACCCTCGAGAGTAGCAGCGTCTATTCACTTGTGCGACTTAGTTAACATGGCACTAGATTCCCTCCTTCACCTGCCGCCCTACCTATGGCTTTCACTAGTCCTCGCAGTACCCCTCGCAACGCTCCTTCACGATGTCTGGGTATGGCTCCGAATGCCCCCAGGTCCCATGCCTCTCCCATTCCTTGGCAATAAGCTCCAGCTACCCAAGTCGAAGCCCTGGATCGAGTTCCAGAAATGGTCCAAGATATACGGTCCCATCTTTACGATATGGATTGGCCGCAAGCCTACAGTCGTCATATCCGACCCGAACATCGCTGTTGAGCTGATGGAGAAGCGGAGCACAAAATACTCGTCGCGACCGCGAATGGTGGTCATGGGTGAGATACTATGGGACAATGCTAGTATACTAGTACAGCCATATGGTAAAGAGTGGAGTGTGCGAAGAAAGTTGCTACACCAGGCCATGACCCCCAAGGCCCT